GGATCATTGATCCTCGAAGAGACAGATATTAGCTGTCATTGCCGGCGATCTTCGATCGTACACGCTCAAGCAATACTTTGAAGGCGTATCTGATGGGCAGACCAGAGCAACGCGGAAGCATGCTTACACTATCGGTAGAATCAGTTAATTTTTTATTAAAGGTCGTGGGATGCCAGTCGATTTCTCAGTTTCAAACACTCTTCTTCTCAGATTTCTCAGTTAGAATGAAAGAAATCTAAAGTACGAAACAACAAATCAAAGAGAAATATTTTCAAGATTCTATCCAACTCGAAGAACTATTTTCTATGAAAAAGAAATATTTGTTCATTTGAATAAGAATTGATCAATGTTTCGAGTTTATTGATAAAAAAGTTTCAATAAAGAAAATGAAATTCGAATCTTTGTATTACCAGATAAGAGCTCTAGAAAAAACTTTGGCAAATTCCATTGATAATTGATTCCTTGTAATTAAATGGAAATCGTCTGAACGTTTAATAAGACTCAATCTTTGAATCTGAGCAAGAATCGATTGTAACCGTTGATCATTGTTTAGTTGATCATTAAATTGTTTAGCTAATTCTATTTTATTAAACGTGGTTAAATTTGAAATATTCAATATTTCGAGATTTGGGCAAAGAAGAATCCAAACTAATAACGTTAACGAATCAAGTTTCTCTGATGAGGCAACATAAAAATCATGTACACGAGGTAATACTGCTCTTAGTGATTTACCTTCCATTAACTAAATATGATTAGAAATTCAATCGATTATTTTCGAAAAGGATACACTTACTAAATCATAAAGGATGTCTACAGACTCCAATTGACAACAATTTACGTGTAAAGTTTGATTTGATGAAGGAAATACTCGTTGAAGAAAGTATAAATATTCAAGATTGATCGGTTGATTAATAGTGTTGATCAGATGAATGTTTTGCACCTTAGGAAAACGAACGAATGAAGAATTTTCATCACCTTTATTCAAATACCATTGATTGAGATTTGTTTTGTAAGGAAACGAAAATCGACATGGCATTGTCGCAACCATTGTTGTTAGCTGATCACATTGAATATAAACTGGTGAACGACATTGATCAAGCCACCAATCACTTTGAAAAGAACCTTCATAATCATTCACATTTGTTTTTATCCCATCAGATTGAATTAAAAATGAAAATTTCTTTAGTTTTTGACAGGATTTGAATAAATTTTCTAATTGATATCCATGAATAGGCGTTAAAGAATCAATACTAAGTGTTAATTTTTCCAAAGATGCTTTACAACTGTTAAGAATATATTCTAAAATATTCAAGTTGGCTACATAAATTTCTTTGATAGACAAATTGATCCAATTTGTTCTTAGATTTTTTTCAGAAAATTTTTCTAAGAAAGAATCGTCCTGATCGGTGAGAAGACTGTCGATTTGAAGGTCAATTAAATTCGGTAGACATGTCATTATTGTATAAAAACCTTTTTCAGAACATCTTTCCAATGACAGACTTTGAAGACATGGACAAAAGTACGTTTGCAATTCTTCAACAGTAAAACGACTTTCACAGAAATGCTTCAAATTTACAGGACCCATATGGAGATCATTATTCTAAATACACATCAAGCAATAAAATATCGAGAAGAACATTAGTCATTATTTAACTTACATTAGGTAAAAAAGCTGATTTCTCGGTAGGACATGAGAAGTAAAAAAGGTTGCTTTTACGAAGATTATTTAAAGATAATAACACAGATAAAAGTGTGCAATTTTCAATTGTTAAAGTCACTTTCCATAGATTTCCTTGAATATTTATCAATTGAAGATTTACAAAATTGACTTTGTCGTCAGAAATATATTCGAGAAATCGATAAGGAAGAGAGAGATTTTTCACATTTTGCTCGAATAATGCAACATGTTCATCAAACCAACATTTTGTCATGTCTTTTGGAAGTATCACATTTGTGGTACTACTATGAATTAGATTGTTTAAACGAAGATTTACTTGATAAAATGCTTTAAACATATCCATTATATCCAAATAGGAGAAAATACCAAGAAATAATTCATTCGGTAAATCCATTAAACAACTTTTCTCCTTCGCAACATTGAAATGATCCATTTCAAATCTTTATTTAGTAATGATATTATTTCCAAATAAACCGTTTTTTCTTTGGAATATTTTTCTCTAAAACAAAAAAAATAATTTGAATTAAGTAAAGAGAAACAAAGATCGAGAAATCGATGTTTTTTTCTATCGAAATGAATCTCGAGCATTTAATTGACTACTACAGTAGTGGCCAAAATTATAAGACCACCCCCCTACTGACGAATTGTTCGCCTCCGTGTGCGATCATCGACACTTCTATTTGAAAGTCCCTATGTGCGTTTTGTAGAGCTGACCCTCTCCTACAGA